AGAGAGAGAGAGAGAGAGAAGATGGTGGTGCGACGAACCGAGACGAACACTCGCGGAAGGAGTGGGGTTGCCCACGGGGTGTGAGAGGAACCAGGAAAGGGGAAAGGGATGCTGCGTGTGTTGGCATGGACCAGTGCGTCAACGGCTGTTGCCTCACACGAACCGCCGAAATTATAGTTAGTGGCCCCGACGGGTATTCCCAGAGACCAGTCTCGCTTACCAAAACACACCGTGCTTCGAGATCTCCCTCGGATCGACGAAGATCGTCGCAACCCGGCGAATATTCGAAATTTCCACCGAACATACTTGAGACTTTGAGGATCGATCACGCAGAGTCGAAGCGTCTGTCGGGGACTGTCGCCGGTGGGATTTGCAGTGCACCGATATTGTTCAATGGACGTTTGTTTCAACATGGTACCAACACGTGAAATTATCGTTTCTCCTTCGTTCTCGACTCGACGGCTCTGGAGAAGATTTTGGTGACCGTAAGGTTGCATCCGAGTGAGATTTCGTTTGCGGTGAAGGCAGTGACAGTCCGACGGTTGCCACGGACAGACAGTGAGTGCGATTCTTTCAGTGGAACTCGTGGTTGTCTCGATTGGATTCGATTTCAACGAGGAAACTGGGAATTCCTTGAATTCTTCGAGGCAGAGAAGGTCATCGCACATCGTTGATTTAAAAAGCAACGTCAAAACTTGCTTCGTCGGTGCGAGAGAAGTTTTCGTCGTCAACGCCGCGCGGTGGTACTGAGAAGAATCGGTCGAGAGATATTTTCGCCGGAAGTGCGAACGCGAGAGTGGCCCAGCAAGAGATTTGAATGCGAAGTTAAGCGAGAATCTTATCCGTCGCCGTGTCGTTCTTCCAGGAGGGTCGTAAGATTCTTCTCCCCTCGATCCTCGGCCAACGTCGTCGCCTCTCGTCGTCTCTAATCGTAAGCTTCTCTCCAAGGGACTCGTCGATGAAAGTTTCTTTAAAAAGTTATGGAACACGCGGCCAGAAATGAATCAATCCAACGATTCGAACAAACGCACCGTCTTCTCAAACATCGAAATTGATTCTCGTAAATTGATTATACATCGACGACATTGTCACAGAGTGGATCACAGAGTTGATTCGAGGACTTCACTTTGAACTTTTCAAAGTCAAGTGGCTTCAAGCTTATCAACAAGGATTTTCATATCAGCGTCGACGATTCGCAAATTCGAGCTGAGGTTTTGAAATTCTCTTCGCGGCTCGTTGAAGAACTTTTAGTCAAAATTTTCATTCAGAACTTTGCATTAGGAGCGTCGGTCTAATAATTCAGTCTAATAATTCTGAAAGCTCCAGTTTAAAAATGAATTTCCATCGAGTCTTACTTTGGTTCCTTTCATGTAAAATTTTCATACATTTGAGAGCCTACGTTCAAAAATCTATATCGACAGTAACGACGGTTCAGAGCGAACTGACTAACTCAAAAGTCTAGAAACCTGCATTCGTAAACTCTACTTCGGACCTTCATCGAAGCCAGCTTCTCGAAGGATTCTCTCCTACAAAGTCCTCCATTAACTGAATTAGACTACTCCAGCAAAACAAACGCTGTATGAAACGAAGTTCATCTAAGGAGTACAAACCAACGAACAATCGGACGCGACTTTCTCATCGTCGTTCGGCGATGTTCTACGAAATCGCATGACAGGTTTCAATGACGAGTGACTGATCGGAAACGAGCGTCCGAGTGTCTGAACGATCAACGAATCCCGGTGGTGTCTGACGGCACGATCCCAGCCTCTCTGGCACTGACAGAACAACGTGGTAACGTGCCACGTGCACTTTGACACGCGGTTGTTACGTGCGTAGGGGTTGGGATATCCATGTGGCGTGTGTGGGGGTTGCCTACCGGCGGGCGTTCTTTTTCCCCTATTTTTTCCGTCCCCACCACCGGAGCTGGTCCAACCCCTCCTGGAACCACCTGGATCCGGTGTGTCAGCCCCGGTGACGTGCGCAAAAATTACTGAATGAACGGTGACGTCACCGGGCCGGCCCGCGTGAAAAGTGTGCGAGTCGTGTTCCTGTCCGTGTCAACCACTCTCCCGAGTCTCGTCTCGTTTCCTCCTATGGGCCGCTCGTCGCCCGGCTTTCATTCTCTCTCCGTTTTATTCACTCCGTTTTTCCTCGTTACGTTGCTCGGCGTGTATACGGGTTTCGCTGGTTTTACTATCGGCATCGCGTCGCGATTGCTTCAGGCTCTGTCGCCTGTCGTTTCGAGGCTCGATCGAGCCGATTAGAAGGGCTCGCCGGGAGATAAAGGAGCTTGCGAGCCGTCGTTAAATGGATTAGAAGCGGAAGGGTTGGCCGCATCGGCGACGGCACTCCCCGATCTGACTCTCCTGGGAGACCGGGCCCTTTCTCTCGCAGCATCTGACCACGCTTCTAGCAGATGGCTGGTATTTCTCCGGGCCTTTGTCGCGGTGACGCACTTCAGATAACCCGCGGTGCAATTTGAAAAAAATTGGGATTGTTTTGGGAATTTGTGTCGACGAGAATCAAACGTGTTTCGAAAATTGAAAGTCTCTTGTTCGTTTTTGGAGTCTTAAAGGTCTCGATCATCTTGGAAGTGTGGAGAATCTTGGTCAATCTCGGATGTCTTAGTTTGTCTCTTAGTATGACAAATAGAGCGTAGATGTTTATGCAAATTTCTGTTTTTATATTCTTCGCTACATTTCAGAATTTATTTAGTTAAATGGTGTAAAAGAATTCAAATTCTTTCAATACATTTAATACACGATCTTACAAAAATCTCCTAATTTCTAATCAATTATTCGTTACATAGTGTGAAGAAGTATTAGTAAATTATTATTTAAATTAATCAATGAAATTCCAATACTTCTATATTTTTCTCTCGTATCATTCCGCATTGTTCTCTGCGAAAATCAAGTCCATAGGCAAATTGTTCCATCTAAATAATCGAGTCGATTCAAACTTGTCTTTTCAAATGTAATGGAATCTTTGAAAATAGCAAACAGAGTAAATAGAAGTTCGTTCCTCTGGAGATCTTCACGACGTGTCTCTGACCATGCCTGAATTTTCTTAATTACAGATAAAACCAGGAGACCGAGGGTGGTTTCTTTAGATGCTTCTGCTATTTTCATTCGAAGGAGAAAATTATATCTCGCGACTCTTGGCCACTACCAAGGAGAAGTTTTCTGTAAATAGTGCTCGTTGACTAGTGGACTGCTTAAAATTATAAAATACGTCGGATTCCAACGAATCAAGAAAGCTCAAGACCACGTCTCAAGCTTCACATCTCCAACGGCTATCAGAATATCCTGAAGATCACTTCAAATCTTCCAACAAGAAATAAGAAGAAGAAACTATTTATCTGCAAACCACGAGCAACAACCTTCAACGCCGTCAGACACTTTAAACCTTCGGCGAAAGTAAAATTTTCGAAAGGGTGTTGCCAAGCATCAGATTCATCTCCAGAATCGCAGAAGAAGTATCTCGAAAGAAAAAAAGGAAGAAAAAAAAAAGAAGAAGAAGAAATCATCAAAGGCTGCTGTAAACCTTCTCTACCGAGAAGAGAAGAGCTACCTGTTTTCAACTCGGGTCGAAAGGACGAATCGTCGAGCGTCGGGTAGCATCATGTCAGGTGACGACGAAGCTTGACCCGGGGGAAAGTTGAAGCAGCCGAGGATCGTCGTAAAGGCCGAGAAGCTCGAGCAGTGAACCGAATGGAAGGATGTATCATCCGGCGTTCTGACTGCCTATGGATATATTCGGCCGTTGCAACGGCGGCGGTGGCGGAAGCACGGTATCCGGAAGCGGCGCTGGCTCGGTGAGGGGGTCCAGCAACGAGTCGAGCTGTGGAACAGGGAGTGCTGCCAGCGAGAGCGGCGCAACCAACGACAGGATGCAGTTGACAGGGGCCTCGGCTCCTGGCGCTGCCGCCTCGCCGGAGTCGGGCGTCTCTCCTTTGACCGATGCCTACACCAAGATGACCAGCGACATCCTCGCCGAGAGGACCCTCGGTGACTTCGTCAGCGAGCATCCTGGAGAACTCGTACGGACAGGTATTTACGATCGAGAGAAACCATCGACGTGCTGCCAATTTTCACGCATCCGCGGTACAATTTACCGGGGGTAAATTGTGCATTATACAAGTAATCTTAGAAATGTTGTAGATCGCAAGTATTATTTGAGATTTAGTAGAATTGCAAGATTCATTCCAATCTTTGGAATTTCTCTCTAGGAAAGAAAACCATCGACGTACTATCGATTTAATATTCGTGGTTCAGTTTTTGGAAATACACCTGTTATCTATCGTATAATTGATGTTAGAAATGTAGTAAATTGCAAACACTTCAGTGATGAATCAATCTTCGGAATTTCTTTCTAAGAAAGATCTAACCCTAGAAGAAAGTATGACTCGACAGTGTCAACTGAATTTGAACTAGGACGAAGTTCTGATTGGTATTGAGTAAAAATTGTAATTAGTGATCCATTACATGAATTTCAGTTCATTAATGAAATTCTGCTAATGAAGCATATACAAACCGAGCAAGAATTTTTTCATTTACCAAATTTATTAATTAGTTAACTGTACTTTGGATATTTTGTGCGCGTATTGTGTAAATTTCAACTATGTGTATGTTACTATGTTTAATTTTCTTGTTAAATGAGAATCCGTAAAAAATCCGCAGCACACTAGTGGAATTGTTGAAATTCGTTGCTTAATGAAATGTCTGACTTATAACGTTTTATATCACTGAATCTTAAAAAAAAGATGCAAGATATATATTCAAATAAACGTTGAAATTATATATTGAAAGAAAAATTCTAAATTTTAAATTAGTGTACAGAAAATGTTAGAAAATTTCACAAGTTACAGTGAATTTATAAAATAATATTTATATTATAGTAATATCTTATTCTGAAATTAAATAATTAATCAAAAAGCATTTTTACAAGTGTCTCTTCAATTATAACCAATAAACGAATTTCTTTGCGTTATATTCTTATCAATACAATAATCAAAGAAATGGAACCCATGATGAATAACAAAGATTTGTTTCATCCATTAAATATTACAAAATATTATCACATCGTGAGCGTTTTTTATTTCAGACATCACAAATGCATGAAAATCCACAGTTTAATAATCGAGGGAATCAATATAAAGTTTGAACAAAGAATAATTGGATAATACTGTTATACAAGAGACATTTGATGCCTAATTGTGTTAAGTTTCTAGCTCGCAGTCGTGAGATTCGGTGTGTTTCATTCCATTACAGGTTCGCCTCACTTGGTCTGCAGTGTGTTGCCAGCTCACTGGAGGTCCAACAAGACTCTTCCAGTAGCTTTCAAGGTGGTGGCTCTTGGCGAGGTCGGCGATGGCACTTTGGTCACCGTTCGTGCTGGTAACGACGAGAACTGCTGTGCTGAGCTGAGGAACTCAACCGCTCTGATGAAGAACCAGGTGGCCAAGTTCAACGATCTTAGGTTCGTCGGCAGAAGTGGCAGAGGTGAGTCCCTTGATCCGACAACACTTCAAAACTCTTTCTTTTTATCCGTCTCAATCAACGATCTTCAACGAACACGAAGATTATTTCCCTTCGTATAAAGTTGCAATTATTACTAGGATATTTTTACAAGTGTCGAGTTATCAAAGACAGATGTTGTTAAAATGAAATACAATTAGAATTTAGATTCTGCAAGTAGATTTTTCTAGGAAGGAATATTAAAGAGTAAATTTTTATATCATTCAAGCTTCCAGAAATCGAAAATTAAAATTCAAAGAACACTTTCGCAGGTTAACATAAAAATCCTCTTTAAGAAAAAAAAAAAAATACTACAAAATTACAAAGTCCACTATCATCTCCTCTCCTTCAGAATTCAAATTCAAGTTATAGCGCCATCAGAATAAAATTAACATCCGTTTCATTAAACTATCATCTATTATAAAAAAAGCTAAGAAATACAAAAAAAATTTTTAGTTTTCAAATCTTTTTACTTTACGCAATTTTTGAATTCTATTAGATATAGAATCTACTTTTTAAATTTTTGATGATGTTCGAATAATGTTCCTTTTAAATTTAATTAATTGTCATTGATTAATTGTCAGACCTGGTTTTATTTTTTTGCAATCGATAATTTTCAAAGTATCGCTACCTAGCGTTGTCAGTGACACAATTCCAGAAATTTCCAACACAAGATCTACATTACGTTTTTATCACCATCAGATTTGCGTCGAATTATGATAGTTACCTTACTTTATCATTTTCACAGCGATGCTTCGATCAATTTTAAAAAATTTTAAAAAAAGCCTTGCCTTCAAAATTTAAATTACGTCCCTCTCAACGACATCACCTTTATATTGAATTTTTTTTCAAGCAACAAATCAGTGCTACATCAGCTATTCAT